TTTGTAAACACTAGAAGTGTGACGATGTTCTCTGGCAATTAATATACTGAGTTTTCGAAGTTGGAAGGCGTACCAGTTTTTTTTTTTTTAATAATTCTCAATAAAAACAACCATTTAACAAGAAAATGAAACTATAGATCGTTATATATGTTGGTACAAGATACTTTGCTGAAGTTGTACAGGCCCAGGTCTAATGTTCTAGGCTACATTATAACCTAAATAAGAAGTGTCGCCGGCCGACTGTGTGATGCCAATTTTTCGGGCTTAAAACGAAGCCTAAATGGCCTTTGACAATTGGGGAGCTGGAATTTCAGCACTCCCGAAATGTTGTTGAAAAATCTGGTACTCTGTTTAGGTTGAAATTATTATGTGTAAAATGATTTAGAGTTGTCTCATAAAGAAAAAATTCCATCCACGTATAGTAAAAATAAGTCTGCCAATTTCCGCGCAAATGTTGCAGTAAAGTCGGCCGGTGGCTATTGTAACCAATGTATAGGCGTTCGCAGTGTTAATGCGATTCTGCGGACCTATTTCCTCGAAATTTCCTGCACAAATGAAGATAAATACTGAAAATTTTAAAGAAAGTGTACAGAAAATATAATTAATGTTTGAGTAATAATAATTAATCAATATATCAATCCACTTAAGTAACTGCAGATTTTGGCAGTCCATTGACTAGACAGTTTAGCTAGCACATTATTACTGCTCATGTTTTTCTTTTTTATATTGTGTATATCTGTTAATAATTAACAGAAATTCGTAATTTTCTTAGAAATATTCCTAACAATTGAAACTTTCCATGAAATACATTCCCTTTCCTTCCAGTTAGGTTGAATTTTTTACCTTGCACCTTTTTTTTTTTACTATCCCTTTAATATCTATTTTCTTTTTAATATTGTTTCATCCTTTTTCTTATTTCGTTTTTGATACTTACCTTTCTTTTAGTTTTTTCATTGTCATTTTCTTTCCACCATTTTACTTCTTTTTTTAGTTTTTTCATTGTCATTTTCTTTCCACCATTTTATTTCTTTCTTTTTTTTCCCTTCCTTTTGTCATTTCTTATTTATTATTTTTCTTGTTTTTTTTTCAATTTTTAAAAATCTCTTTTTCTTTCATGTCTTCTTTCTTGCATAATAATCCATGGGGACAGTGTAGGTGTGGGCGGGTGGGGGTTTGTTAGGAAATATAAAGAATAAAATATTGTGCAGCACTTGGGCAATTCCACATTGGAAGGCCAAAACCACCAAAAATTTAATCCTCTTGTATCTAAACTTGGGTTTCATTTTCAGAGCTGAAAAATATGTAGAATTTGGTTCGAAGTGAAATTTTAGTCTTATTAATTCGTATTCTTCAAAAACCACTGGTATATTTGAGCATTTGATTTAGAATTTAAAAACAAAAAAAAAGGCTAATTTTAAAAATAATCCCCAATTATGCTTAACTTAACCCTTCCTGACTTTAATTATTCTGAATATCTGACTTAATGGTCCCTAGAACCCAAATGTTGAGATAGACTCGGACATGGCATCTTACAATTTTAACAGCAAGTTGTCAGATATTGGGTAATATCACACCGTAATTCCGTTCAGAAAAAAATGATTATTGTTTTTCTGAGAGCAAACCAATGGTATATTTGAGCATTTGATTTAGAATTTAAAAACAAAAAAAAGGCTAATTTTAAAAATAATCCCCAATTATGCTTAACTTAACCCTTCCTGACTTTAATTATTCTGAATATCTGACTTAATGGTCCCTAGAACCCAAATGTTGAGGTAGACTCGGACATGGCATCTTACAATTTTAACAGCAAGTTGTCAGATATTGGGTAATATCACACCGTAATTCCGTTCAGAAAAAAATGATTATTGTTTTTCTGAGAGCAAACCAATGTCCATAAACTCAAGTTACTTTATATTCTCTTACTAGTCATACACCTTTACCATTATCACTCAACAGTTTTCTCTGATCTTCGCTAGTTTTGTAGAAAACCTGGTAACAGAATTACATGAAAACGGAATTACATTGGGTCATAGGAATACGGTTAATAGAACTTAATTCACTATTACTAAATATACTGCCCATATTCCTCCATAGCATTGATTCAGATTGATACTTATGTCCAGTGGAGCCTATTAAAATGACAAAGTGGCAGCAAGTGACCTTAGCAACGGCCCTAGTAACCGTGAAGATAGTGATAAACTGAATTTAGTGATGATGTTGATGATTGTGATGATGCAGATGTCAGTGATGATGCTAGTGATAGTGATGAAGTTGAAGAAAGTAATCAAGCTCATGATGGTACAAGTAATGTTAGGCCTACAGTCAAAAGTGATAATATATTGTCTATATATCCGACCTGAAGTAGGTGGTTGTTAAGTACTTTTGCCAGAAGAATGCCAACAAATTTGTTGGTCAGGTTATTGAAAGTCACAATGACAAGTTTATCCTAAAGTTTGTTAGAATAATTGAATTTTGTAAATTTGTGTGGCCAATTGACAACATTCATAGATTGTGGATAGATCTTGCATAGTACCGAGCTATGTGAACCATAGATGGATAGGCATTCTAGAATAGCCTTTTTCTGATTATTGTGAGTACAGTAAGTGCGGGTGCAACAGCTAATATTTATGCCTACTGTAGTGTAGTTAAATTAGCTTAGAATCATATGATGTAGTTCCACAAATTACAGTACACTAAATACTATCAACAAATTGTTTTTGGATAGTTTGATATTTTATTCCACCTCCATGTTCTATCGGACATGTAACTCCATTATTGTGTCGTGTAATTCCGTTTCCAAACAAAACCATACAAATACAGTTAAATATAGATATATGAGCAGCAAACTTTCTTAACATAGTCCAAACTATGATGCCAGTCATTGATGTTAGTTGGTTATAATATTCAGACAGAACTTTGTGTTACTTGAAAAAAAAAATGAAATTTATCATTTCTCTGTAATTCCGTTACCAAAATAAAACTTGCAACAGCCAATACTGCCTATGCCTACTGTACTTGGTTAAAGTAGCTTAAAATCACATGATGCACTCTACAAGTACACTAAAGATTATTTCCAATTCTTTTTTCGATGGTTTAATATTTTATTCTAATCAGTAATCGGACATGTAATTCCGTTACCAAACAAAACCAATCAAATACAAATAAACCATAAATATTTGAGCAGCAAACTTTCATGAACAATTTAGCCACACCTTAAGTCCAGACAGTGATACCAGTCACTAATGTTAATTGGTTATAATATTCAGACGGAATCTTATGTTCCGTGATCAAAATTAAAATTGAAAATTTCTGTGTAATTCCGTCACAGAATAGAATTGGTCAAAATTTCAAAATATTGTTAGTTATTTTTTCGAAGTACCAGTGTTTGATATTGGTAGGTGTATGTATTACTTACATCTATAACAGTTACTATCCAACGCACGCCCTAATTTTCTGGGTTTGTCAAAATAAGTCAAAAAATGTTGTGATTTGTAATTCCGTTACTGTGGAATTGCCCACTTATTATCTTAGGGGATGCAAAAAGGATTGGGAAATATGTGCTACTAAAAAAATTACTTGTGATACCAAATTTTTTTGGGGGGGGGGTGCCAGAAAATTTTGGCAGTGCTACCAAGAAAAAAAGTTAATTTCAAGCCCTGATTACTCTTCCCAATCAGAATGTTTGGAATGGTGATAGAGAAGCTGTTTATACTGGATATGCAGAAGATCTCGGGTCACATGGAGAAGAAGATATGTGCAGTGGGGGTGTCCAAGATCCTAACAGAATCCCCTGCCATGCTGGAAGGAGACTACTTAAAACACTGGTAAGAAATACTATTCAGGTTTCTTAAGCCCTGTCCAGATTATTATTCCAAATTTTATTTAACGCAAGCGTGACATGCCTAAATATGGTCATGATGGCATCACGTCATGACCATATATAGGCACATCATGACCATATATGGGCATACAACAGTTTTTTGTTTGATAGTGTTAAAAGAGCTTTATATTTATTGTGAAAACATAAAATTCGTTCCTTGGTAAATGCTGAAACCATATTAAGACGGGCACACGCAGCATCAGAATGGAATTACTATCGGCTGACGAATTCACCTCTGCTCTGTCATTGGCGGTCTAGTGTGGGGGATCAGGGGGGTCATGATCCCCCCTTGAGCTGCCAAGCGAAAGAAAATTCTAGACCTACCTTTTCAGGACCTGAGCAGAAATTGTGTTTTTAAACCTAAAAATACAAATCATCATGCAAAACTTACCATTATTATTATTATTATTATTATTATTGTTATTATTGTTATTTGACCAATTTCACACATAATGAGCCTAGGCCTACCTCAGAAGTCATTTCCCGCCATCTAGGATTAAAAATTTTGAAATATTCGGAAAAACTGTTTCATATAATTGTTTGAGACACTAAAAACCTCCTGTATACCATACATTGATCAGTCATTAGGTTTATTATTGCTGACACAGCCAAGTTTGATGCAATACTTGTCTGCTGACTGATTATGGGTGGCAATCTAAATGAATCATTGAAAACAATGTGTCATCGCATTATTATAGAATCCATTGGTGGATTCAAGAGGGGAGAAGCAGCCTTTCAGGGGCCCCATAAATTTTTAAAAATTATTTTTAAAAAAATGAACAAAACATGAAAATTATATTCATATTCTGAAAGTGCCATTTCAGGCCATCTAGAGGTGCCATAATCATAAAATTTCTTCAGCCCCATGGACCATAGTGACCCTCCGAGTTGAAGTCCCTCCCTGGCCCCCTCTATTTTGAATTCCTGGATCCGTCACTGGAATTGTGTCTGCATTCATCTTTCACCTGTTCTTTCTCTCCCAATCAGGACTCCTCTCCTGCAAGCTCTTGTTGGCCTCTTTGAACTACCGGAAGATGAGTCAATTCCAGATGACGAACACTTCATAGAGATAGAAGACACACCTGGCTATCAGACCGCTTACTCTCAGCTGTCATTCGCTGGCAAGAAGGTGCATGATCCATTCGGTGGCAGCATAACAAATCCGAAGCTATACCTTGCACAGAACCTGAGCAAGTTGTCTTCTGCACATCCTGGCAAGGTTGGTTTACCTACCATTAATGGTAGTTCAAAGTTCAGTGTTCCTTTTATGGTAGTGGCTGTGCTTAAATAATAAGCTTGTAAACCTTAATATTTCAGGGTCCCAAGTTCGAAGAAATCCCTTCCAAGAGATCTGGTTGAATGAACTTGCTTAACGCATCAAATTTTATGTTGCTGCGCATAGTGGTACCCATCTACACTGACTTCCTTGAGACATTATTGATAATAAAGTATTAAAAACATGCAAATATTATGAATTTCTGGAGATGGATTACTTACCGGGCGATTGTTTCTAGTGAGAGTGCGGGAGGATTTCTGGGAGACTCCCGGGAGACTTACTAGGACCTCTGATGTTGTGCGGAAGTAATGTAGCGCAGCCGTTAAGACTTGCAATGTCAGGAGTTTGAAAGCGACCGTCACTGGTCACGCTGTTTATATCATAGCATGATGTGTTGAGTCATCAATACCTGTATTAATAACAATATATGAATTAGGAAATTTAACTTTTAATATGTAACCAATTCTTTTTTTTAGCAGCTCTCGTCTCTAGTTTCAACACTAGACCCTACTGCTCTCCAGTTCCTCCAAGGGTACCTACAGCAAGCTAACGTGTCCATTTGAGCCGGGTAGCTTCTTTCGCATTCAGAACAAGCCTAGAGAAGAAAGATGGTGTAAACTGGAAATTATAGCTAAAGAATCATTGTCTGGATACAATTGCAAGAAATCTGTGCTAAAATGCTGCCCTCACATTTTAATATTAGGGAGCTTTCGACATTGCACGACACTGTGGGAACATAATGACACTACTTAAAAGTCATCTGTGCATGTTAAGTTCTCTTTGTTACGTAGATTCTAGGACGCATTTTGAAAAAAAATCTATGTTTTGCTGAGAACGAAGGACGGTCATGCATGAGTAAATCCATTCTATCGTCGCGTTGTTGTGCAAAGCGAAAGTTCCCTATTATAAGATTACAAATAATAGCCACACCAGTTCCAGAAACGTTTGTGCTTGTCCAATTGGTTTTTTATATCAACTAATCTGTATCTGTTGATTAGATAAAATGAAAGTACTATAGCATTATATCTCTTCCTGCGTAGACTGTATAGGATTTGTACTTAGTTTAACTATTGAAGTTGCTATTAAATTCTATTGCTTCATATATAACTTTACCATACTAAAACAAATAGAGTTTAGTGGTCTAGCATAATATTTTGATCTAGTTTGACACCTTTTTAAAAGGAATGGATAGAATTGTACTTATAGGGGAGAAAAGAAAGCAGCAAAAACATGTAAACAAAAAAAAAATGAATTACCAAGGGTGGATGCTAAATACCAAAAGCTGAAACACCAAATTTGAGAATGAGTTAAGACGGAAATACAAAGCATGAAAACAGAACAAACTTAACCAGAAGTGTAAGTAATCATATCAAGGCAAAATCTTGAAAAGAAAAAAAGTTATGTTAAGGTAGGTTGTGAATAAAAAAAAAAAAAAATCAGTCGTTGGTTACGTTCAGACTAGGTAGACTTGCCAGATGTACCTAACGCTGGGAATACATTAATCCATGGCGTAATTGGCAAAGTGTTCAGACATCGCGATTAACATAATTGATTAATTGAAAATTAACCCAAGTAAATATTTTTCCTTATCAACTACGTGACATAGTGCAGTAAATATTACTGTTCCTATTCAGTTTATTATTATGTGTAGACTCCTGTTTGGTAAACTCTTAAACAAATAGTACATTTTTAGAAATTCTTCATTGTAATTGTTAATTATATTTGTACCAAAATTATTCAAACGTAACAATGTAATTTGTGAGGGAAAAAAATGACTTGCTACACTTTTATTTGCAAAGACCAAACTAGTCAGTGCTTTTTTCATTACATGCTTTACTCAACATAAATATTTTAATATATATATATGGAATTTTGTTTTTAATTTATAGGTGTTAAAATTGAATATTTTCCTTGAGTCCAAGACTAATATGAATATGCATGTTTACTGTAATAATTATATCAGTCACAATCTTTAATACATAGTGGTTATCCTCAAAATAATGTGATGTGTGCTGACTTTAAATCATTCTAAGTCATAATTACATAGCAACTGGAACAAAAGTCTGAAATCAAATATGACCGCAATACAATGTTTCATCCTTTTGGTGCAACATAACAATCCCTCCTTTCTTTCATTTACATTTACATCTCTCAGGAAACTTTATTTACTAAAGTAATTTCTTCCTTTGTTATTTTATGGGCATTGTATAGTATACTATACTTGTTTTTATATAAAACTATAATTTTTACAGCAATTCCTGCAAGAATTTGATCTAACCATTTTTTTAATTTATTTTTTTTCGAGGGCTGGGGGATGTGGGGGTCTGATAAATCTGTGCTCCAGAAACACATGTTCTATGAGAATTCAGCACATCTGAAGTTATGAATTTTTCTCCATCTAAAACTAAATTAATTTCATAGGAGTGATGTTTTGTTTAAACTAACTTCCAAAGATCATAAGATTATCACTTACATTTCTAAAATTTACCTTGAAGTGCCAAAACTCCACCTTTGTGTAGATAGACTGTGTTATATCATAGTTTTTATTTACTGACATTGCAACTCTTCTAATTTAATTGTTTGGTATTGTTAATCTATTCATTTTCCGTATATATTTATGTTAAACAACGTTTTGTAAATTTTATTTTTGCTAAGCGAATGTGCTTGTAACAGGTTTCCATATTATTTACTGAATCTAGATTTGGTAGTCGCTACCGCATATTATATTTCTTGTAAAACCATATTTCATATAAGATAAAAATTGAATGTGATGTGCCGTCATATACCACAAAATGAATAAAATCTTATGATTGTTGCATTAATAGCGGAATGAATGCAAGTGGGCCTACATAACCATTTGACCTTAAAAGACATAAAACTTGCATCATTTTTAAATACAGATATTTTGATATTGCATAAAATACAAGTACTGTAAAGTATATCTAAATCTGGAGGTTACTCAGAACATGGAGGAAGAAAATACTCAGAACATCTTTGTGTGACAAAGTTCTTAGTATGGGCCTAAACACATTTCCCAAAAACATAACCCTGCTGTAAAATTCTTACACCCAGGGTCCTAAATATTTAGGCCTACCATTATATTTTTTTATAAAACGGGCATTTTCAGGGTGTAGCGGTATATATGTAATATATGTTAAAATTTGAAATTTACTTTTGAATAAATCCAAAATTGCTAATGTTTTTCCATGTAAACAGTTTCCTGGACTAAAATCAATGTCTTCAATTTTGGTTTTATTCAAAAGAAAATTCAACCAGGCATCAGGTTGAATAACAGTAAATGTATTATTTCAAAGCATAAGAAAATACATAATATATATGCAGTAGAGGCAGTTCTTATGGTCCATCTGTAACTAAAATGTTTTATGCTATATTGATACAGGGGAAGATCCAGAATTCCTGACGGGGGGTGGGGGGGGGGTACATATGAAGTTCTTGCCGCCACGCCCACCGCAGCCCCACAATGGTTGGTGTAAATAAAGTGGCAAATATTAAATCGTGCTCTCCTTTCACCCCAATGCTGGATCGCCACTGAACTCATGGGTACACTCCTTTTTCCTCTTTTTAACTCAAAATTTTCTCACTTTCTTATACTTTTTGGCTTGACTGACGGGAGTGGGGGTGCACGGGCCTTTATGCCCCCCCCCCCCTCCGGATCCGCCCCTGTGATAGAATTTGATTAGATTGATTGAAACCAATTTACTTCAGTAGCATCTCCAGTTGTAAAAGTAGATCATGTTATTATAGTGCCCTCTATAGGAAGAAAACTTTTTACCCACAACAGGCACGTTTGTATATCTCTGCTGTGACAGTTTTACAGTATTGCATTTGCCGTAATTCTGTCGCATTATTTTCAAAAAGATGGCCAGTGTCTCTTACCCCCTATGAACCTATTTTCTTCACATAAAGACAAAATATCAACTCGCCAGATTCCATGGTGCTTAGATACGCTAGTGTGGCTATTTGCAAACAAAAGTGCTTGGTTTGAAATTTTGTGAAGTCTGACCACGAGTATACAAACAAATAAAAGAAAACCGGAAAATATATTTTACAGTACTGCTGTGTTTTGTAATTGTAGTTTTTAGTTTACATTTTGTGCAACAAACAGCAGGCTACCACCACCGCGCATGTAGATAGCGCGCGCAATAGTAGTAGTGTGAATACGCGTGACCTCAACTTTATCAGATCTGTATTTTTGGTTAGGAATGTATTTTCTTGTCCATTTTAAGTAAAATTACCGTATATTTCGGCAGAAATAACTCGTTATGCAAGGAGACTGGTGGATGGAGGATTCCACAAACGGAAGATTCGTGAAAGAATCGAGAAATTTTCACTCTCAGTCTCAAGATCCTTGGTTTTCTCGACCAAGCTCACCTCCAAGCGGCCCTGTCACGATGCCCACCGTCGTCACCCTCACTGTTCAGCCTCTCGAACCCGTGTCGGAGAATTCAAAAATTGCACGCGGTAGTATGCCGATGGGTTTCGGCTTAGGAGCTCGATCTTCTGCTTCCACCAAGAGGCGAAAAAAGGCGTCTAAAAATGCCGAACCCGAAAGAATAAGTTAGCTTCATTCTTGTATTTATACTGTAGTTGAGTAATGTAATTCCTGAGGCCTAGTCAGCAGTACGCAGGCCGGGTTTTTTAGGCTAGCTTACCACGTGGCTAGGGCCTCCTAGGCCTAGCATGTAATGGGGCGCTGAGGGCGGGGGTTGTTGGGGGTGGGGGTTAGATGTCAGAGCCATCCATATCCATTTAGAAGCCACTCCGTGTCCAACGAGATGGCGTTCTGTGTCCAACGCGATGTGCATTCTTGTGTATAATTGTATAGGGCAGAGGCCAGGGCCTACAATTGAATTATCGGCCTGCTGCAGGCCTAGGCCTAGTTTAATTTAATCTTTTTAGCAGTTGAATTTCATGTAACTATATTTAATTTAGAGATTTTTTTTCATGATTTCACTACTTTTATATCAAATTTCATATTCTATTTATATGATGAGGACCAGCAAAAATTAATTAAATATGTCTATCAAAATGTAATTAAGATTAGGCCCTAGTTACTCTTTTATATTATTTTCGATTAAATCTATGTTGTTCATGTTATTTTGATTAAACATGTTAAGATTAAAATATACGAACGTTTAACATTCCAATTATTAGGGCACATAGAAAAAATTATTAGATCATCACACTTTTTTTAAGTGATGAGGGTGGGCGGGTATTTTTTTTATTTTTTTTATTGGAACAATAGAATATTGCTTTTTTTTATTGATGAGGGAGGGACTGTTTTTATTTGGCAAGAATATTGTATAAAAACTGGTTTAATTTTATTGTTTTTTAAAAGAAAATGTATTTCCAGTCACAAAATTGCAATGTTTTCCTTATGCTTTTAAAATAAATATTGCAGCAAAATAATGTTTTTTCTTTATTCCTACATCAATATTTTCCGAATTTTTGATGCGGGCCTGAGTGATAATCTAACATTTTTTCTGTGTGCCCTTATGTTGATTGTTTTTAATCTCTTTTTAGGGCCAGCTTCAAGCCAAGATGCTAAATCAACTCACCTCAGATCATCATCTAAACCCCCACAAAATGATTTAGATTGGACATGTTTCTTGGAAAAGCATCTCCCATTCAGGTAGAGCTGAGTTTGCCATTATCTGTTCTGCTTATTAATACATAGCTATATGAAATATAAAATACAGTAGTTTAGAACGTGGCATCATGACCTTAGCAACCAGGCTCAAATACTTCATGCTGTTCAACCTTGGGAAAATTGTTCAATCTGAAAAACTATCCCCTTCATAATTTTCTTCCCTCATGCCAGAATTGTTCTTCGTTTCTTCACCATCCCCGATAGTGCATTTCTTTCCATTCCTTGTTGCACATCCTGTTTCACTTCTTCTTTTCTTCCATACTCCTTGAGCCTTTGCCTATTCCCTCTTTCTCGATCCATCTTCAATTCCCCCCGTTCTCAAAAACATTCACAACAACTTTCAAACCTGCCCACAAATTGTTAGAAATATGTTTATACTGATACCACATCATGTTTTTTTTTTTGTATTTGTGAATGTAATTCTAAGTGGATATTGGCCCTGGGTGGCATTTGAAGCACATTTAAATTGAATTGAACATTTTCAGCAGTGGTGACAGTTTTCCAATTGGGGAGGAAAGTGAGAAAAGGGAAACCAGGGATAACATAAGGCTTTGGTGAGGGTAGTTTTTGATTTCCATTTTAACTTTTATAGAACAATATTTATTTAATGTATTTTCTCATAAACGAGTGAAGAAACTTTTGTTACATTTTAATTTTTATAGAACAATATTTATTTAATGTATTTTCTCCTTCAACGGTGCAGCATTTCAGTAATTAGGGACTGCATTTTGATTTTTTTTCGGTGTTTTTTTAGAATCGGAATTTATGTGGCGCCTTTCACATACAAAGGCGCTGGCATCAATATTTCCTGGTCATTGGATACTTAGTTGGCAAACTAGCACATTTTTGTGTGCGACTTGCTCTGCTCGCTGTGGAGTATCCCTAGTCATGCTGCTTTACACACACATAACCACATACGTTATTGCCACACTATCCTACCAGGTACCCATTTACAGTATACCCCTGGGTCAGTGGAGAGAGGCGAACGTAAGTAAAGTGCCTTGCCCAAGGACACGAGCCATGTGACAAGCGTCGGTCCTTGAACTCCTGTCTCTTATTTTACGTCTGTTGACATTTTTATTATCTGTTTAATGAAATGAAAGGTAATTTATAATATAGGATGAATGGTAAATATTGTGATTTTAGACCACAATATTTAATAGAGAGGTCCTGTAATACAATAGGCCTAACTTGTTTCGGTCAGCAAAATAATATTTTAGTCCAACCTTGAGTGACATCTGAAGAGAGGTGGGGGCTCAGTGATTACTGAAATCTACAATGATAAATTAACATACATGCTTGTCAAACAGTTGAATTCATGAATTAAAGGCATACAACAGCAAGTCAGTGTAAACTATCCTATTGTAAAGCTGATAAAAACAGGCCCACCCAACATTGTAAACCCCACTGCCCGCCCCTCTTTAACAATGGTATATTCCACTTTGGGTGGTTTCGTCCAGGTGGTTATTGTCCTGGGTGGTTTATGTCTGATTTCCGCTTTTCCAATCTGGAAAATTTCCTGACTACACCCTCTGTGGCCTCTTAATTCCAGCCAGACATTTTGTTTATATTTTGTTTATATTGCCCATTTTTTGCATAACTTGAGTGATCAGTTTGATCCTGTGTTTTCCACTTCATTCACCTGATGAAGCCAGCTCAGGCTAGCGAAAGCTTGTGTTAATAAATTTTGTTAGTCTAAAGAAGGTGCTACGTCAGGTACTCATTTCATTTGTATTTTATGCTTAGACACTAAATTATGCCATCTGACGAATCAGGTTACAGTATTTTTTTTTTCTTCTGAAGTATTTAAGATAATAATTTAATTTTGTATTGTACTGGCAGTCGTGACTCGCTCTTTTATTTCCATTCGTTTGGACAAAGAAATTTGTATGTTGTAGTATGATATAATATTAGATTGTGACATAGCAATGATACATATAATTATCTGTGTTAAGACCGTCTATAGTTAGCAACATGTCCCTGGTTTTCGAGAGGTTCAGGAGAGGCGCGACAAAGGCATTCAAGTTTGTTGTTATCTTAACAAAGGTTTTGCTTTCCTTTGTATACAACAAAAAATCCAACACTAATCGTTGATTTAGTGTTGTTAGCCCCTTAGTGAAAGCATTGTTCTTTTGTGGCTTTATGATCCTACTAATCTATTTTACCCTGATCAAGATATAATTCTGTTTACTACGATCGATAAGAGAACTGTATAGTACTACTATATCTCGATTGTTAAAAGCATTCATGCATTACATTCACGCCCCATGTGCTGTTTTTATTTTCATCCCTACAGCAGTATTCTCAGTAGCATTATTAACAGGATGGACCTGAGTTTAGTGATCGTGTGACTTCAATCAATTGGAAGGATCACTATATGTTATTGTTACATTATGAAACAATCTTGAAAAGTTGTGGATATATAATATATATATGTATGTGTGTGTGTATATGTATGTGTGTGTGTATATATATATATATGTATGTATAAATATATATATATATATATATGTTATGTATATGTAATATATATATATATGTTATGTATATGTAATATATATATATATTATAATTTTTTTTATGAATTAGCTATTAAACAGAGTAATGCTATTTTCTTTATTGTTCTTTTGTGGCTGCTATGTACTGTTGTCATTCTTGTTAATATTATTATTCACGGTTGACTTTTTACAAGTAACCACAATTCTCTATCAAATTTTCCAGAAATTACTCTCTAAAATTGCTTTAAACATAAACAAACACAAATTCTGTAGGGTCAAATGCAGCAGAATTATTTCAGGTATGATGTTAAGTAGACTTTGAGTAGGTTGATTTATAGTGTCATAGGTCATCTAGCTTACAAGTTCTACTTTTAATATCAAGTGTAGAATGGTAACCATGGGAACCCCATACCAGTGTGGTGAGCGTGCTGCTATACTTTACCAATATTTTAGTGAACTAAACAGAGCCACTTCTGTTTTAGCATAGTTTAGGCATTTCATACTTTAGTTTACTACCAAAATCATCACTTGCATCTATCACAGTATTTTCCGGATTCATTGGAGGTATTTTACTTTTGTTTTATATTCTTTTGAGATTCCACAAATTGTTTTTATTTTATAGCAATCAGTTTCATTTATCAGTTATCTCTAAATTATAAAGCATTTTTTTTTTAATCTACTTTGTTATGGAAATTACTATTTATATAACACTTTCTTGATATAATTTATACCAAGAAGAAAGTGTTATTGCATAAATAGATAGGTCCCTAATGTCAAGAGACTATTGGTATGATATTTGGCAGTAACTATCTATCTCATGATTTTCTGTGATATAAATTATCTAAAAAATATGATTATTATTCCAATCATGTGTACCAGTACAAAAATGATAATGTTTATACAGTACCATATTTTTGTAATGCAAAATGAAAACAGATTTCCTGGAAAACAGGATGATCTTATTACTTACCATTAGGCAAGACTTTTTTATACCTTTTAATTATTTTGCAAAACAATAATTGTGATTAAAATTTTATTTTTGACTAGTTGTAAGGTGAACTCCTGCCATGGAAAAAAAAAAACCCCAGAGATTTAAATTCTTCACTGACAGTCTTTCAAATTTTTTTTAATAAGTTAAATAAGTTTATTTTTTAAATTTTTTGAAATTTTATTTTTAGAAAACACAAATACAAAAGTAGTAAAACAAAATACAGTACACATTACAAGAAACAATAAGAAGACAATTAAGTACAAAGAAACTTGAATCGGTTCCAATTTATAAGGGGTCGTTCACAATTATCAACATGTTCACAAGTGTACAAAAAGTACGTCAGGGGAGGAGGGTGGTAGACAAATTTGTACACTTTTACATGCATGAAAATTTTAATTCAAAATGTCAAGCAATATTTAAAATAATTGATTTTTATGATCAATTATAATGCAACCATGGATATACAGTAATATACATTATGATATAATGCAACCATGGATATACAGTAATATACATATTTGAGTACCCAAGTACAATGATGCTGTAGTTGTCTTCACAAGAAGAGGGAGAATAGATTTGCAAAGTCAACATTTTTTATGTACACTTGCGGAGAGGAGGGAGGGGGTACCGAAAATGAGTACTGATTGTAAACTTGCGAAAATGTTGATAATTGTGAACGACCCCTAACAAAAGGGGCAAAGTCACTGTCACCCAAAAAAGAATGTGCTATTCCGTAAATAAAAAAATGAATATATGAAAAAACTAAAGGATGAAATCAAAAGAATGCAGAAATACAGTATTTTCAAGTGTCATTCTGAAATTTTGAGAGATTTTTTTGCTCTATAACTAAAAAAAATGTTTGGCTATATGTTTTTACTTTATTTTCTTAATTATTTACTGTACTTGTATTTTATTTATTTTATTTTAAACATCATCCAACAGCAAAAAGTCAATCATAGGATGCCTTAAATACATTATATAAAAAATTTAAAATGCTGTACATGTAGATTATTAATTATTAATGCAATTATTAAAGTTTTAAAAATGTATTACGCAGTATACATAAAATATATTATAAAAATAGAACAGTACTGACAGAATGCATAATCCATTTCAGGTATATAAAAACATTGAAAATACTGTACAAAATTATTATTAATACAATTATAATATTGGAAATTTAAAAAGATACTGCATACATATAAATACATTACAAAAATAATATTGGCAGAACACATAAGCAGTATCATACATTTAAAAGACAGTACCATAGAAATCATTAACAGTTGCTGTACATTACATTAACAGCCTAAACATTAAAAAATGACAAGTAATAATATCAAATAATAATAAATAAAATAGTTTACTTGATAGTGGAATCTGTTTAATATAGTAGGCATCTGTATCATAATGGTTACATACTATGAGCCATAATGGATTGATGCTAGATTTTTACATGTCCATTTCTCAGTATTCTATTATGTGATTTTCCATTCATTTACATTCATTGATAAATTAAGTTATAATCATAATGAGGTTTCCACATGCATAGCTTTACATTTTTAAAGCACATTGGTTAACATTGTGTCTTCATTTAGATCAAACTACTGTTTTATCTTTCGATAATTTGTCAATCAGTTCCAATCAATTTAATCGCAACTGCCAAAATATTTTCCAACACAATAATTTCACCGGCTGTTTGACTGTATTGAAATATCCCATTAAAAACCATACTGTTATTTCGGTAGATTATGACGTGTGTTTGTTCAGTCGAAATCAGCTAAATCCACTAATTGGCTGAAGTGAAACATCAATTTATCTGTCGCCGATAATTGGTCATGGTAAAACATGGCAGTTTCGGCTACATCGGAGAGCGCCACCTATTTTAAAGGATTTAAAGTGCTGATGGACCAGAAAGGAGTCGCCTTTGAGAGGAACTACTCCCCAATATGTTCACAAGAGAAGTCTCCGCTGAGTAATGCGAGAGCTAAGCCAGTACGGGTGGTTCCGTTACGCTATTCAAAGTCGTCGTTCACTCTGTGTAATGCGCTACAGTAAGTAAGGTTAAGCCTGCCAGTTGTACTCTGCAACACACCATTAACTTTCCAATAGATTATTTCATGATGGGAACATAAATTTGAATACACAAAAAAAAACTTTACAGTTAATATATATACTGTAATCTAAAAGACACTGAATTCCTGCAAATTGATATGCAAACCTTAATCTCACTATACCAACATTAAAAACTTGTCATAAGTTGTGTGTGAAGTTGTTAAGTACAACTAAGGCAAATTGTGTGCTGTGCTCATCTTCATTTTTACAATCCATCTTTTCCTTGAATTGTTATCACCATTGTGGTTGTTTGTATGAGAGATTGAATAATGCAGTTAGTAAAAACATGCAAACATCTAGAGATGGGCTTTTGCAGTTAATTTTTTTTATCATCGGAGAGATTGGGCGAGTCCAAGCCAGGACGGCCACTTTTACCGCGACAGCTTGGCATAATTAGCTCGGCCTAGCCTAATTGGGCCTGGTCTACCTTTAGCAATATGTACTTTATGTTCTTCAATTCTGTCGAATGTTACATTAAACTAAAGCTAAATCATATTTATTTTTGATAAAAACAACATTTTTTGATTAAATAATAATAATAAGATTTATAAAGCGCACAAATCCACTACAGTAGTGCTCAAGAACGTACATTGTTTTCGTGCTAATACCGGTATTCGGTGGCAATTTTCAAAAAATGTAAGGCTTAACTATTGCCTACCCGGTGAAAAGTTCACTAATTACAACACACGTCGTGTTAAAAACATTTATACCTCGCTGGAAAATGGACGGTTCTGAGCCGAGTGGGTGTGGCCCTTCTCATCAGCTCAGTGCCACGCCCACTGGCTTCCATTTGGACGGCCTATTTCGTTTTTCTGGCTAAACCCCTGATCGCAAGCGAGTATACAGTATCTGTGAAAAAACATTTTCTGTGAGACTCCCTGCACTTATGGAAGACTTTTGAAACCTCAGATGATGTGTTAGTAATGTATGTCAGTTAGTAGATGAAAAAACACATGGAAAGCAGTTTAACAAAGGATCTAGGATCCCGCATAGTTCATCATGCAAACACTGGCTACGTTAATAACTGCCTTGGTGGGCAACAAACGATATGCTCAATGCATCATGATGCAATATTGCCAATCCTTGATGAGTTGAGCACATGGGTCTGTATCGTAGTTATGATAAGTTAGCAAATGTTGATTTGAATTATTACTAATGCCTGTAAGCTAAGCATTAATAATATAATTAAAAATAGATGTGTCTGCAAACTGCCAGACGAAACTACAATCAGTCGACACAATTTATTACCGAAAGGTTAGTGACCTATGACCTAGGCAAGCCTTTTTTTTTTAACATTGTTAGCAAACTTTATTTTTGATTGATGTTTAGGAGGGTAAAAAAGTATATAAATAGAATATTAATTCTGCCAAAATCATCTAGACGGAGAAAATAAATATAAAGTTTTATTGATGAATAATAAAAAGTGTCCGAGGTAAAATAAAGTCACTAAACAGAGGAGGCCCTTAGGTCATCGATTTAGGTGATATTGCATGGTTGTATGCAATGAGGTGTTAGGTAATAAGCTCTCTTGGTAGACGCTATAGTTGGGAGAATGAAATTCCTTTCAGATTTCACGATACAAGACAGACACAAGGCAAGACTTTTTTTATACCTTGTTTCGCGTTTTTAAGATCATGGGAGGAGGGTGGAAAAAAAAGTTAAAATAAAATTTTGTTTTCTTATTCAGCAAATAAGTTTTGCCAAAAACATCCAGACAGAGAAGAAATTAAAATTATACAATTTTATTAGTGAATGTAAAAAGTGTAGTAATAGAATGGTTAAATGCTTTAAATTTATATACAGTAATTAGGAAGAAATGTACATCTTATTTTTGGAGATTTCAAGGCAGCGGCAGGCATAATAAAATAAAATTAGAGAAAAACTTTTATTTTTTTCTGAAATTGCCATTTTTTCGTGGCTAATAATTTTTGCTCAAAATGAACTTTTATTTGTATTCGAAATCATCATTGGCCGGTGGTGGGTTCGCTAAACAAGAAATAAAAAAAAGTATATGGGCAATTCCATGAAAATGTAACATAGACCAAAAAATTAAAGTTAATGTAATGAAGCCAAATGCCATTAATTTGTATGGAAGTGTGTGGAAAAAACTAAAAACCAATAGTTTACACGTTGTCTATGCAAAATCTAAGCCGAAAACCAAAATGATGCAAATACTTCAAAATTGAGCTGAAAATAATGCAAGTTTTCAACACATGTTATTTAAATCCACAGGAAGGTTTTCAATTCAATTAATACTTTATGTAGAGTATATTACATAATTTTTAGGTGACAAAAGTTTCATCAATAATATTGATTCAGTCAAGCTACAGAAGCATCTGTAAATATTTGCATGGGACCATTTAACGTAAGTTACCAAAAGCGGAAGTTTTTATTCCTGCATCTCAAGTTAAATGTTGTGAAAGTTGCCAGTAGATTTTTTTCCTCCTCCTCATGTCAATTTCTTTTATTATCTAGAAAAATCCTGATTCATGACATGAAAATTGCAACAGTTCCTCTTGACCAGTTACTATGAGTCAAACTTTTCTATGAAAAGACCCAGATGACAGAGATGTTGTTAAATTTTGAAATGAAAGAAAATGCATTTTCTGGAAATTATTGAATGAAATTTTGGTATGAATTGAAGAATGATAATGTATACGCTAAACCTTAAATAACTTAATAATTTTTTATTTATTTATTTATTTATTTTTTTTTAATTAAATATTTTTTTGCTGGGAGGGGGATTAATATTGCATACTGCTGTATTAGGTGAAAGTAAAAAAGGAGAGTGCGAGGATGGACATAATATCAAAGTAGGGGATTGGTGGTACTGAAGGCCTACAGTGTATATGGTTATTACTATTACAGACTTGTTGAGCACGTCTTTTGCAGTGGATTGGTGGTACAGTAGGCCAACGCAATGACTACCAAATTCATAGAATATAGTGGGGGTACATTGAAAATGGCACACCATTAAATATATTGAAAGTCTTTAAGTGCAAGAAAATGAGAAAATGCTTACCAGTTAATTACTGTACTTAAATCATGATTGGAAATTCGAGTATACTAACATATTGCCATACTTATATTTTTAATGAAATTTCACATTGGCCGACACGATGGCTTGCTTTTCGATACTTGGTGTATGTATATTATCTCACATTGTTGAAGTGTTCTAAATTAATGAGAAATATTGCAGATTAAATGTGAATCATAATTATACTACTGTAGTTGAACTATACCTCATACGGATATTAAGGCCAACTCAGACAGCGTCGTACGATGCAGCCCGACGCAATTTGTTGTCGCGTCGGGTCAGTGTGAGTTAAACGCAGAAGCGATAGTTTGCGTCGGGGGCAGTCGCGTCGTGGAATATTAAACATGTTTAATATTTCTCATGACGGCTTAAGACTGTCCCCGACGATAAATCAATCGGGTCGGGCTGCATCGGCCGACGCTGTCTGATTTGGCCTTTAGACATATAACTCCAGTATATCACTATTTAAATGTAATGAAAATTTTATCTGATTTGAAATAAATTGTTGAATAGATCTAATTTCTAGAGTATTTACACAGAACACTATAACCTACCGGTACATTTAAAATAACAGTTACAATTAAAACAAATATAATTAAAATGAATATATAAAATCTAAATGAGACTTTTGAAAACTCTCTTAAAAAGAAAAGTGCATGTCTTTTTGTGTAACATAAGTTTGAGTATGTTTAAAAAAAATATTGAAAAACTATTGAAAGTTTTAAAAGGATTTTCAGAAAGGTTAAACATTACTGTTTTAAATAATACTTAGTTATACTGATGAAATAATTTTATATTTGTGTAATTATCAGTAGAGCAGATGAAAGTAGGTAAAAATGTAACGTAATTTACCGGGGAATTGCCTATAGAAAAACTGTATTTAATAAAACATAATGAACAAATTTAAAATAAATCATTTTTCCTATAGTGCAATCTCATTAAACTTCTTATTCAGTTCAAAAAAGTGAAATTTTAAAATATAATTGGAGAAAAATTATTAAAATTAAGATTTATGAAATTATACTCTAATTGTAACTTTTCTTGAGACATTACATATTTTTAGTTCAAAATGGTCACTTTAATTGGATAAAATATGCAAATTTATATTTTATATTAAAAATAAATATCTGTCTAAATGTTGTCCGTTTTTCATGAAAATTGTTCATACTACAGTACAGTAATTACTATTTCTATTGTGCCCGCTTGAAGTTGAGGAAAATTGTATTAATTGTATGCTAATAAGTCAAATGTTGAATTCCCATGAAATCCTATGAGTCAGAAGCTCTCAGCATTGTTGTAGTAGTGTACTATCAGAGGTTAATGTTCACACCTTAATCATACTATGCTGGAACCTGCTCTAGATACAAAAGAAACAAATCTTCGTTATGTTGCAAATGTTCTTAATTGTAATAAAAAATAGTTGAATAAATAAAACTAAATAACATAAAAAAAAAATATGGATTATATTTTATTTTAAATATTAAAAATTCATAATTTTTACCATTTTATTAATTTTGACATTTAATCTAAAGTACTTATTGTAAATAACATTAACTTAACATAACCGAGTTTAAATGGTTAAAGGCTTTGGTTCTTCTGACAGACAAAGCCGCACTACCGCAAACCCCACCGATCCTCGTTTTCCGGTTGCCAGTCGGCCTCGACTTGCCAGACCTACATAATATTCAAAGGGCCTACATTATAAAATGTCCAGAAGAGCCTAGAATTGCCCAAAATTGCCAATATTTTCCATGAGGCATAAGCCCTGGAACCCGCTGGCCTCCATGTAAAATTTGAGGTCTCACCACGAAATGAGATGCATCGTTGGTGAGATCATATTGAGATATTCACCAAAACAGGCCAAAGTCAACATTTTTACAAAATTTTGATTTTAATGTTTTT